CAGTCTGGGTACAGGAAACCACCCTTATCAATTAGAGAATGATGAGAAAACCCAATTCCCAGACATCAGCTGAGGCCCAATCTTGTAAGCAGGACTGTCTGAGGATAGCAATCTGAAACTGCCATATAAACTTTTCTGTACAGGGATATACCTGGACTGGAACTCAAAGGTGATACATAACTCCATGTTTAACTTTTCTGCCAAACTGTCTTTCAGAGTGGCTAAACCATTTTCATTCCCTACTAACTACTTATAAGGGTTCCAATTTATCTACAACCTGACCAATGCTTTTTATTGTCCCATCTTTTCTAGTAAAACCATCCTAGTGGGATTAATAGGTTTTTAAGTTAGTGATTTTCAAGCAATTAGAATAAAACATGATGATCCGTAGGAGCCAAAATGGGTTATCTAAGAACAATCATGCCAAACAACCCCATATTTCCTTTTTTAAAAAAAGAAATTTATTTTTTTCTATACTGGCTGTACTAGGACAGAATGTTTTTATATTTTACTCCTGCCTTTCACAGTATCTTCGTGTACAAAAATGGAGAAACAAGGGTTGTACTGATTGCTTGATAGATTCCTTGTTCTCTGATGGATGACATCAAAGAACAGGGCCAGGGCCAGGAAAGAGCCCTCCGCTGCTGTTTCCCCAGCTCTGTCCTCAGCCAGCCATTTACATTCTGTCCAAAACCCAGGAGGAAACACAGATGGTAGACCCATCACGTTTGCAGATTACCCAAAGCAGGCAGATGCACACGTCAAATGATAAGATCTGATTCCAGAAAGATCCTGACAGCATGGGATGGGAGATAGAGTCCCACAAGATGGAAGTTATTAGAGACAGTGGCAAGTCCACACCTGCATGATCCAGGGCAAGTACGAACTTTGGTCTCTGCTCGTTACCAAAGAATAGCCAGCCACAACAAATGGGTGACTGAGTTTTGGGGCACCTGGAAGAACATTATGTCACTTGGGTCTGCAGTTTCGGAGGGTACCGTGGTTGAGTGCAGGGGATTCAGAGCTTTGCCACAAGGGGAATCGTTGAAGGAGCTGGCTGTTCAGGTGACCTACAGCTGGCTCCCCTGTGGCCAAAGGTCTGTGGTGTGGGGGTGTGCTGTCTCCCCTGTGACCTGTAGGGAAAACAGATTTGGGTTGAGGGACTTTGTGAAATTCTGCAATTGAACGGGCTGCCTGACAGGATGGTGAGTATCTATCATTGTGGGTCATCAAGGAGAGAGTACTGAATCCTCTATTAAAGAACTTCCATGGGGAAGAAAGTGGCCTGATTGACCTTTGAGGTCTTAGAACTATCGAAGCATGAATTCAGGAACTGTCCATCTCTAAAGCCAAGCGCAAAGATTGCCACGGCACGTGTCACAAGTGCAAAAGTGAATATATTAGCCTGTCTGTGATCATCCTGTTTTTAGGCCCCTCACAGTCCTGCCTGCCCATAAGAACTCTTGGGCACACATGAGTCTTCCCTTGAAATGTGTGCTTGTCCCCTCTGACTGTTTGCCTGTTAACACATCTTACCTGAGAAACATGTGGTCCACATCAAGCCTCCCACTCATGTGTTAAGCTCCAGAGCCAGTTTCCTTATTTGCTTCTATGGTCATTTAGCAGAGACTTAATGAGCACCTTCCACAGCCTCAGTGAACGGGAGGGGGACTGACTCCATGGTGGCAGGTGTAAAAGCTTGACTGGGGCCTACCATAGGACAGTGCCTCAGAAATGTAGGGTGGGAGTCCGAGTTACCAGGCCTGCTTTAGGCTTGGCTAGGAAAGGGACCTCCCTGCAGAAGTGCCCTTTCCGCTGGGACCTGAGAGCAGATGAGCATTTAGACAGATGAAGAGGATAGGGTCAGGGGAGCATTCCCACCACAACTATAGCCGAACATGGGACAGGTGGTAGGTGGTTGCCTAGGGTGATTGCTTAGGGTATGTTAAGAAAAAGGTAAGAACTACCTGGCTGGTGGGATGGTGCCTGTGGCTCAGTGAGTAGGGCGCCGGCCCCAAGGGTGGCGAGTTCGAACATGGCCCCTGCCAAACTGCAACAAAAAATAGTGGGACATTGTGGCAGGTGCCTGTAGTCCCAGCTGCTCGGGAGGCTGAGGCAAGAGAATCACCTAAGCCCAAGAGCTGGAGGTTGCTGTGAGCTGTGACACCACAGCAGTCTACCAAGGGCAACAGAGTGAGACCCTGTCTCAAAAAAAAAAAGAAAAAAGAAAAGAAAAGAAAGAGCCACCTGGCTGGGAGCTGTCCTAGCCTGAGCCCCTTACACCATGAGTTAAGGGACACATTTGCATTAGAGGGTCTGCATGACAGGCAGCTCTGATTGCTTTCTTAATCCAGTCCCGAGTGACATAGGCACTGTTTGTGCCTTCATTCCCTCAGTTGGTGCGACAACTGTGAGAATGGGCCACATTCCAAACGTCTCCACATTCCTGCAGTGGCAGCTTCTTTGATAACACGGAGATACCTATGATTCTCGTAATTACTCCTGTACACCCACTTCTCTCTCTAGGCAGGGGGAGTTTTCAGGGTGGGATGTGCCCCCTTCCAGATCTCTGCTCTTTCTTTTCTGCTGTCATTTATGAATTTAACAGCCTGCTGCTCTCCCCCGCCTCCAGCCTCCTGCCCTCCCTCCCCTCACACTGACTTAATAGAAGGAGCCCCAGATAAGCGAGACCAAGGGAGGAGGCTAGCCTCCTGCAAGCTCTCATACCCAACAATTAGTTTCTGCTATTGCCAATTCAAGATAAGTAGAAAATAACAGAGTGGAACCAGGACTCTAGGCCCATGCCAAGTGCTTGGCATGTGTTACCATGACATTTGTATGAGTGTCACATGGGAAGCCACATGTCAGGCCAAGTACAGGGTGGGGTTTGCTGCCCTGGGAGATGAGCAAGCTGAATTCCTGCCTGGCTGCTGTGATGCACCAACCACTTTCCATCTCAGAGCCTCAGTTTCATCATCTGTGAAGTAGGGATGTGATACTAGGTTATTCTGCCATTTCACAGAGAGTCCAGGCCACATAGCTGTCTGTCCTTCTGGTCTGTACATTTGAGATGTAGCCATGATTATTATCCAGATGTACCTGGAAGAGACTGCTTCTAAGTGTGGGCACCAGGAGAGCTGAGCATGGAGAATCATGTAGAGATGTCCTAGAAAGGGGCTGAGGCAGGAAATACAGGCCAGGAGATAGGAGGAGAAAGCCGATGGGTATAGGACTGTGTCTGGAAGTGAGGTGACGGTAGAAATAAACAAATATAAAAGATCTGAGGTTCTCAAATGTGGCCCTGGGCCAGTAGCATCATATGGGAACTTGTTAGAAAGGCCAATTCTTGGACTCAACAATCTGCTTTAACAACCCCCTCCCCTACAATGATTCTGATAAAGCAAACATTTGAAAACTAGTAGGCTGGATGGGGTGGGAGTAGATGAGCCAGATGGGTACTTTGAAGGCCATAGAAAGAAGGAGATGTAGTATTTGTCAGTCATTTGCTGTATCTGTCAGAAACTGGGCATCTCCACTACATTTGTTCATTTAAGCCTTTCAGGACTGTGGCAAAGACTCAGAGACATTTAGTTTTATGCCATAGTCACAGAGGTAGCGGCAGAGGTGGGATTAGAACCCAGGCCTTTCTGGTCTAGAAGCCTGAGTTCTTTCAGTGCACCAGGCTGCTTCCTTACCTTCCTGTCCCTTGGTGGTGCCACCACTGTCCCTGGCTCTTCCAGTGGTCACTACAAAGATCTGCTGGCTCCTTTGCACCCTGCCATGCACAGGCAAGTGAGGGAGGCCTTGGGGGACTCCAGGGCAGATTGTCACTTTGCATCTTTTTTAGCTTCTAGGTCTCGGTGCCACCAGCGAGTAAGGTGCTGGCGTGATGGTCCTGAGGGACTGTCACAGTTGCCTTTGCATAGTAAACTTGGGCACATGCTGGGTGAAGAGTCCACAGACACTCCCTGATGCCTGCTTGTGCCAAGCCCTATGCCAGGTGCTATGGGGGGAAACTGAGGTGAGGCGAGTATAGTTTCTCCTTCAGGAACCTGTGGCCCAGAGCCAGGGGAACAACAAATAACAGTGACCAGCTGGAAGCCTGGGATGCCAGGGTAGGTCAAAGTGGTTCAAGGAGATTTATGTGGTGACTTCAGGGGACAAAATCAAAATTTAGGGGACAGGGCAGCGCCTGTGACTCAGTGAGTAGGGCGCCGGCCCCATATACCGAGGGTGGCAGGTTCAAACCCGGCCCCAGCCAAACTGCAACAAAAAATTAGCTGGGCATTGTGGTGGGCACCTGTAGTCCCAATTACTTGGGAGTCTGAGGCAAGAGAATCACCTAAGCCCAAGAGCTGGAGGTTGCTGTGAGCTGTGACCCCATAGTACTCTACCAAGGGCAGAAAGTGAGACTCTGTCTCTAAAAAAAAAAAAAAAAATTTAGGAAAAAGACCTAAGGCTTCAGAGCCAGAGGGCCTGGGTCTAGTCCCAGCACTCTCAGTGACTCACTGGGTAAGCCTGGGCAAGTTACCTCAGGTCTAGGACCTGTCTCCTTACCTATGCAATGGAGTTAGCAAGACCTCACTCAGCAGACCGTTCTGCTGGATAGTAATCGGCACTCACATAGGAGAGTTAGTTTCCTCCCATCAGAGGGTGACATTAGACCAGAGCAAAACAGAGGCTTCATGGGAGAGGTGGCTTTTCACTTCGGCACTGAAAGGTGGTTAGAATTGAGGTAGTGTTTTTGTGTCTTCTCTGGGAAATCCCTGGGCATACTGTGGACACGTGAACTTGGCCAAGGAGAATAGCTTTCCCAGCAGCTGTAACCGTATAATTAAAATTATAGTGGAAAGGAGGTTGCCTTGCTTAATTCGGAAAATTTGGAAGGTAATTATTTAGATGGAGTTTTAAATCCTGTAGCAGAGGGCAAAGCCAGGCGGCCAATCCACAGTGCTGGAAATTGACCACTGAGGTTCTCTGTCTTCTGCTTTTCCTCACAGATGATGCAGTTTGCCTGGCAGAGCTATAAGCGTTATGCGATGGGGGAAAACGAGCTCCGTCCACTAACGAAGGATGGCTACGAGGGTAACATGTTTGGTGAGTTGATTTAAACCACTGTGATGTCGGGGAGACCCCACCACCCCATGGTGGCTGAGTGGAACTTTCTGGCTTTTTACCTTCTGACTCCTGTCCCTGTTTATCCAGACCTGGGAGCTTCCACATCTGCGTTTTTTTTTAGGTTGTTCAGGCTTCTGAGCCCTCCTAGATTGGGAGAAACCCATGTGCTTCTCTCTAACCTTATGATCCTCTTTGTATGTAGCTGTCATTTATTTTTTGGAGTACAGAAACTTGGGAATGTGAGTAGGGATGGTGAGGATGGAGAGATGGTTTAGGGGCTCAAAGGACACACAGGGCTGAGCTTAAATCTGCTCCTCCAGGGTGTGGCTTATAGAGAAACCAAACACATATTCAGTGAGGTGGGTGTGGCTGCCCTTAGAGTCTTGGGTGTTTGTCTCTCACATGCTACTGGGTGGACAAATAGAAGAGCCATGTGTCAGGGGTGGCATCACAGGGGCTGCTGCTTAACAGCATGCTGTGTTTTAGCCACAACCTCACTTGCTGGTATCTCTGCCCTCTCTCAGCCACAGGAGTCTCCTAATCCAGAGCCTTGGGGGCTTCTCTCTGCTCTTCAGAGAAACTACAGGGTGCCTTCTTATGGCCATGGTCTCAGATTCTAAAAATAATATCCTCCGAGTTGCCAGCTCCCCTCTCTGCAGACCTTTCCATGAGAAGATGCCAGAGACAGGAGCCATGTGGGCCGGAGAGGGGAAATTCCTTACCTGCAGTCCTCATCCCATACAGATATAGGCTCCTGAAGTCAGGAGCCAAAGAACCAAGTCTGAGATGGAAATCCACACACCACCACCCCCCCCCCAATTTTCAAGGCAAATTTACATGGGCTGGCCTCCATGGCTATGGCCCTGTCACGGGTATTTGTGTTATAGGAAAGATGATGGGGCTCAACCTTCTTCCTCCTAACCAGTCAGCAACAGAACTTTTCAGGCTGTTCAGACAAGTTCCCCTTATGGGGGTTAGTGTATGGATTTGGGGAATTTTGTGTATTTATTTTTCTGACTATCCTAGGAATGTAGAAGGGGGAAAGCAAAATATTAAAAAAGTATAAATTAGGCAAAAACCAAAAACAATTATCTTGGCTCATTTCTTTTCAATCTTTTCTTCTGTGTGCTTTCTTCCTCTGTTAAATACTATTTTATGTCCTTTCTTTTTTGGAAGGGGGTTATGTAACATCACAAATGTTTCCTTAAGTCATCTCAAGTTTTTTTCATAAAGAATGTTTCTAAAGGCTGGGTGTGGTAGCTCACAACTGTAACCCTAGCACTCTGGGAGGCTGAGGCAGGAGGATTGCTTAAGGTCAGGAGTTCGAGACCAGCCTGAGCAAGAGTGAGACCCCTGTATCTACTTGAAAAACAGAAAAACTGGGTAGCTCCTGTGGCTCAAGGAGTAGGGCACCAGCCCCATATGCTGGAGGTGGTGGGTTCAAACCCAGCCCTGGCCAAAAACTGCAAAAAAAAAAAAAAATGTATATATAGCATAAGTGAATAAAGACTATTAAAAAAAAAAAAACAGAAAAACTAGCTGGGTGCAGTGGTGCATGCCTGTAGTCCTAGTTACTCAGGAGATGGAGGCAGGAGGATCAGTTGAACTTAGGAATTTAAGGTTGCCATGAGCTAGGTTAGGAGTTGAAGGTTGCAGTGAGCTAGGCTGGCACCACAGCACTCTAGCCTGGGCAATAGAGTGAGACTCTGTTTTAAAAAAAAGAATGTTTTTAATGGTTTCAATTACTGTATGGCTATGCTATAATTCATTTCGCCATCCTTCCAATGTCAGACAAAAATTGTTTCCAATTTTTCACTGTTAGAATTAAGGCAGGAGCTATCAACTTTGTGCATAAAAGTTTGTCTCAGGATAGATTTCTAGAGAGGAATTCCTGAGTTGAATGGGAGGAAGAGAGATGTTTCCTTAACCTCAGATATGAAATATGTTGACTCCTGCTTAGGAACCTGGCTGCCTTGTCTGTCTAGAACACAGACCTTCCCCAAACATCCCACATCAGCCCTGGGGAAAGATTGCTGGCATAGATCTCATCAGAGTTGTTGGAGATTTGCTACTAGTATAAACAAGGTCATGATCCAGAAGGCTTTCCCTCTCCTTTTCCCAAAACAGTTGGCAAATATTCAGGGACCTGGTGGTCAGAGTTTGGAGTGGGGGCAGTGCAGGGCAGCCTGCTGATTCTGAAGCTATTGCTCAGATCATTATGGGAGACACTTCTGGGAGTGGTTGAGCTAAACCCACTTCTGTTTTATACAGTTCCCCAGGGTTTGGGATTTAAATCTCAACTCCTGGCCCCTTTCCATCACTGAGCCTGGTGGAGCATGGGCCCCCTGGCATGGTGGAAGGAACCTGGACCTGGAGTTTAGAAGCCCTGGGCATAAGTTCTCACTCTGTCTTGAGCTATGTGGTCAAGTCCAAATCACTTAATCTCTCTGGGCCCCTGCTTGTTCATCCCTCATACTGGGGCGACTGTGATGATATAAGTGACAGTAGGTATGGATACACAAGGGGCCATGTTATATGTGAGTGATTTATGATTTCTGTTGTAACAGATGAGACTGGCAGTTGCCCCAGTGAGCCCATGGTGGGCTGTGAGATCCCCTGGATTGTCTGTCTTCCAGGAGCAGCCTTGGCAGAGCCAAGGGAGCCCTGTGACCTGCAGCACTCCTGGCAGTGAGGTGTAGGCTCCCCCCTGCAGCCAGCAGTTGAGCTACAGAGTTTGGCTGGCTCCTGAGAAAGAAGGATGCACAGGGACCCAGGCACTGGGCAAGGAGAGCTTATCTTGATTTATTTACTCTGTCACTCAACAAATGCTTACAGGGTGACGATGCCTCTTGCTGACTTCTGGGGGGACAGCAATAAATAGCACAGTAAAAGTTCCACCAACTCTGCCAAAGCATACATTGGCAACCCCCAACTCCCGGAGTCTTTCTGGAGTCTGTGTGCTCTCAGAAAGAGGGACACATCTGGTGATCACAAGTGATGACATAACAGGTCCTTACTGGCTAGAAGTTCATGTTTCTAGATCCTGGTAGACCCAGATTCAAACTCAATTCATTCAAGCAGTTCATTTCTCTCCAAGGCTGAGGTTTTCTGTAAAGTGGAGCCCCCCGAGAACCTGTTGCTAGGCAGTAGCTGTGATTACGGGCTACCACAAATGGGTCTTAGGATGCAAAGGCTTGTGGAAACAAAAGCCAACAAAAACCAAAAGGTGAGGGCTGGGGGCATCTAGGAGCCTGGGAGATGTTCTAGTTGGGTGGGTCCCATCTTTGAAGTTAGACTATTCCCAAAGATTGAAAGAGGTCAGCTGGTCTGAATTAAGCATATTGTTATACAAACACTACTTTTTCTGGACTCATGAGGATTCCTGTGTTGTGTCATTCCTGGACTATGGCTGTATTGACATCAATGACCTCCCTAAAGCCTCATCCTACAGGGACACTTCAGAAACTTTCAGACAGCAGGCAGTGCCCATCCTGCTGTGCCTAGCTGAGTCAGAGGCACAGGGAGACCCTCAGCGGTCCGCCACATGGTTTGGATGTGGGCTGCAGCACCATCGCCCCTGACACGCAGGGCTGGCTGGGCTCTGCACGCAGGGAACGGTAATGAGTTCATGCTGGTACCTCACTTTGCTGAGATTTATAAGAGATGCAGTGAGGGCCATCTGATGCCCAAGGCTGGTCTCCCTGGGCAAATTGAATACCCCTCCCAATTGCCGATTTGCCCCTCCCCAAATCTATTCTTACTTTAAGGATAAGACGTAGGTAAGGTGTTTCTCAAGCCAATTTCTGTGTCCTGAGCACTTCCTTATCAAAGCAGCTTCCTTTTCCTTCACATCAGGCTCAGCAGGCTCTGTTAGAAGATGCTCCCAAAACTCCAGGGATTGGTAGCAAAGAGGACACCACCTGTTCCTTGCCTTGTGCCTCAGGCCAAGGCAGATGTCTGCCTCTTTCCCCTTCTATGAGAAGTAGCCAGATGGGACAGTTAGTGTCCAGCCAGGTGGCAGAATGAGCATGGAGCCTGGATCTAGATGTGATTGGCCTGGGTGGAACCTCTGTGTTACCACTTAGCAGTTGTGTGGCCACAGGCTGCAGAGAGGGGCAGGAGCCCCACATTCTGAAACCATGGTGACAATTAGGGAGGAGGCATGAAAAGGGCTTAGCTTTGTGCCAGGCACAGAACAGGCACTCGATCAGGAATGTTCTTACTGATGTTAAATCACAGAGGTGATTTGTTAGCTTGAAGAATACATGAGAGACAGCACTGATGGTGACAGAGGGACCAGCCATAAAGTGACAGCCACCAAAGTGTCTGAGTCCCCTGAGGCCTAGCCTCTTCACCTGTAAAAAGGGGCAGATGTTAACCCTGCTGCTAGGACTTGAGGGAATATTATAAGCTGGCTGAGGAACATGGACCCTGGAGCCAGATGGCTTGCATTTGTGTGCTCCTCTGCCACTTACTAGCTGCATAACCTTGGGCAAATTTCTTAACCTGTCTGGGTCTCAGTTCCCCATCTGTAAAGTGGGGACAATAATAATACTTCTTTCATAGGATTACCCTGAGAATGAAGAGTTAATACACATGAAGTGCTTGTCTGGCCCATAAGAAGCATTCATCAAGTGTCACTGCTGTAAGAATAGTGTAAGGCTTGGAAGACCATGTGCTGCTCCCATTTTGACTGGGGTGCCTAGTCCTCCTGACCCAGGAACTCAGCCCTGACACCCCCTCCCCGCCCTGCTCCCCCAACCCTCAAATGCCTGTGGCAGAAATCTTGGCTGGGCAGCCTATCAGTATACCTTTCACCCCTTTATTTAAGCAGCTTACACTGGAACTTTTAATAGGCAAGAGGCAGGGGAAAGTTAGGGTTCAAGACCTTGGAATAAATCAGCTCCCTGCCAACATAAGTGTTTCTGGGCAGGTGGTAAGTGATACCTTGCACTCGGTTGTCATTTGGCCAACCTTGA